TCTTTCGAATCATTAAAGGCATTACTGAAGCACTCCATTAGTCCGGTTCTAAAACAGCGAGTAGAAGCAAAGGATGATTTGTCACGTGACACAAGAGCGTGCTGTCACTCAGCTGACTTGACAGAATTAATTGTGTCCTAACTACAGAAATCGTGAGTTCGCCTAGTATGCGGGACACCCGAACCTGCAATTATACCGCTCTCATTAATCTGTTCTCATTACCTTACCTGATCCGGCAACACGTGGCAGTGTTTGGTGAGGGGGGAACCGAAAGTAAAAAAAAAAAAAAGGGTACACTTGTGCGTGTTGTGCATGGCTGGCGTCGTTAGAGGGGTGTACACTTGTTGGATTTGACGCTTTCGGTCCTAAGAGAATCGCTTTTAATTAATCGGTGGAAGGAAAGAGTTGATCTTTGGTATCGCCTGAAATAACTGATCTCGTTCGTTATGGCCGCGCGTGTCACGTGATCTCTTAACAAGTTACTCAATTTTAAAGTTTGAATTGCTTCGTGACGCTTTAAAGTAAAAATATATAGGAGTATATATATATATATATTTGCATGTCTTCAAAACTCCAAAATCTAGATATTTACTCGTAAATAACATCGTTGCTTAATTTAGCTCATAAATAACGTCATAGCTTAGTTTAACTCATAAATGACATCACGGCTTAGTTTTAAATTTATTGGATTAGACTCATTTTCAGATTTTGCGTCATACATTCTTATAAATCTTATTGGCTTATTTGAATTTGAAATTAATAATACTATTTATTAAGTAAAAATTACCGAATGGAATTTTAATAAACGAATATATAGTCGTAATTTTAAAATTTATTAGTTAAGAAGGTATGACTGCCTATTTAAAATTTGATTGGATGCATTTTATTTTAAATGGTGTTATGTAAATTAGAGAAGGAGCACAATTGTTTTTTTAAAACTTATAATAAAAACTCTTACTATCATTCCATTTGCATTTATTATTTAATAAAAATTTAAGGAATCATTTTATAGCCTTCTTCAGGGCCATTGGGTTGCCTATAACACCCTACATTAAGCATAAAATATAACTTGTCATCAAAATGACCTAACATGCTCATTTATGATTAATTGTCATTGATTATATGCTAATAAGCTGCATTTATAGTCCGCAAGATCTCATATCCTTAAAATAGACCTTTATTATCATCTATTAAATTTATATAACGTCTTCTGGGCATATTTTTCGGAAGATCGTAAAAAAATGGAAAAGAAAATCTCGTTATGTCAGCTGCTTTAATCGAAAAGAAAATCGATATGAGGGCCAAATCGATTCTGCTTAGATTTTATTACCCAAAATATTATTATTTTTCCAGGTATTCCTTGTATTGTAACGGATATAAAAGTGCCGCGTCACAATTACTATCGATTTGTTGAATCAGTCGTTAGTTAAATGTAGAATGAGGCCCCATAATGGGGCCCGTAAATATATATGTAACGTAACAAAATACAACTAGCCTATAAAATGAATATTAAATTTTTAAAAAATATATCCTTTGTCGTCATATTAAAATTTAAATTATCCTCCAATAAAGACGCGATATCGAGATTACGTCATAATATTTTTAAAAATTTGAATTTTATGCTTCATCTACCAATAAGATTCAAACTTGATTTTTACGTCATAAAATTTAAATTAATATCGGACTAATATTATTTCAGCTGAATTTTTTAAAAAAATGGTTAATTATATATTTTAATTATCTTAAAATTTTTATATTATTATATTTAACGATTATTGATACATTTTTAAAATTAAAATCTGCTTATAATATCACAAAAAACGGCTTAATGATAACTGACTCAAATTTAAAATCTCGCAGTTAAATTTATTGGATAATGATTAAAGACGTCATTTTAATCCAATTGGATCGTTTTCAGAAACGTCACTGATTGCCTAATTTGACGTCATTGCAGATTTAAATCTAATTGAATGGGCAAGAAGGGAAAAAAAACCCAGATTCTTCCGCCAGAAAGAAAAAAGTTCAATCTCATCTAGAGGAGGAGCGCCTTTTCTCCTGTGGATCTTTACGCAAAAGCCATTCGATAAGAAGGGGAAAAAATAAAATAAAATAAAAAAATAAAATCCAATATGCAACATTCCAATCTGGATTTTTATTGCCATTTCATGCAATTTGTCTACCGGACAAACAAACCAATTGGCGTAGCAGACGGAAAGATATTTGCAATGACGAATTGCCTCAATTGTCGTGAGTATTTTGGCTAGGTCCCATTTCGATGGCTTCTCTTTTACTTAATGGATTTCGTCCCGCAATAACTGGGTGAAGAAGGGAAGCTGTGTCTCTTCGTTTTCAACAGCTATTTGCATGTTGCATCATTGTCCAAAGAGCCATTAAACAACTCAGAAGATTGAAGGGTGAGCAGGTGTTCTGATACTTTCTGTTAACAACTATTTGATGCAATTTTATGATACTCAAGAGACATACACATTTAACACCTTCCCTCTCACACTCCTCAATTCGTTCCATGATAATTACTGTAAATAAACTGCTTCGGAGGGTTTCTTTGCCTCTTACAATCGAGAATAGGCTCTGAAGTAATTACTCGTTTAAAAACCATTGCTGACATTCAATATCTAAATTGGCCGACAATAAAGGGGCCTGGTATCTTATTATTAATAAAATTAATCCTTTTATCTTCGCCAATATTCTGATGACAATCAGCTATGAGTACTCCACCCCGTTAAAATACCATCTTCGCCCCTTTTCATGCGCAATTTATTATCTAATCAACGGCACTCTCAAAAGTATAGCTTTAAAATTCTGCAATTTCGCACGTATGATTTGATTGGAATAATATAAATTCGAATCCTTCTGAGGTTAAATGAAACAGTAATGTTTCGACTTTGGAGTTTTTCAATAGACCTCTTTTGGCGTTCAAGCTCCATTTAGAAAGGCTCAAGATCAATTTCGAGTTATCTAAATGGGGTTTGTAACAATTAGGAGGGCTTAGGAACCCCACAAAAGACACGTAATCTTTGCAAATTACCGAGAAATTTAATTTACAGGAGCAATTAAAAAAAAAAGCAGTAGAAAGAGGAGGAGGGGGAGACGGATTAATGAGAATTGCTAAGCCCTCTAATGAAAGAAAATTTTGCAAATAGAGAAATAAATTTTACGGATTAAATTGTCATAAATTGCAAAGAAGTATTGGACAAGTAACCAATTTGTAATCATAATACTTAGAGGAAGCGTGTGTGACTAATAATTGGCTTCTCTTTCATCCGATGACACGATATGGATGTGCAATGACAGAATCAATCATCCGTAGGGCCCAGCTATTACTGCCACAATGAGCTCTTTTGAGTGATTGCCGGGAAATCATACACCTGCAGATGTAATATAACTTATTTTATATCTTTCCATCCCCCCTTCGGTTAGGTACAGTTGTCTTTCTTTTATGCTTTGATAGCTAATAGTTTAGTTTTGATGGGTTTTCCACCTGACGGGCCTCCCCGATGGAAACATTACAGCAGTGTTATTTAAAGCTCTAATTGACTCCAGAAACGTAAGTACCCTTTTCATAAATAAACTTTTAAGTTACTCGCCTGCACCGTGTAATATTATATCATGGTGTAACTTCTATTTAAATCATCCGAGACTGTTATTCCTATTCGGGACCCTTTGACAGGCTCTACTCCACCAGTGATTTATGTTTCATCTTAGTTCAACCCAGTACCATAGAAAATCAATATATTTCTGTCTTGATCACTTTAATGAAATGGCCCTCTCATTCAAAAAACCATAAAGCCAGCTTACACTCTTATCAAGTAACTCATATTTTCGATAGTTAAATTTACATTTAGAAATTAACTCTTAATGGCTACTCGGTTTTAAACAAGATTAACCCTTCTTCTCCATAGCTAATTAGTTTTACATAAAGTTAATTCATTAGTTCTGTACCTCGAGTATAGATGGAGTTGACTCTTATTCTCTGTGGCAAATCGACTTCATCTTATTCAAATCTTCGATAGAATTTGACTCCAATGGATTAATTTCAAATAAAATTAATTCCTGTTTTAGTTTTATTTCTTTATAACTTCTTTCAGTGAAGAAATGCTTCTTCATTGAAGCATTCCTTCAGTGTCACGAAGCTTCTGAACAATAATTTGAACCTCATTCCAACATTAATTTTTATATTCCCACTTTGATGTGATTCAAATTATACAAGAGTTTATAATTTTCTAACTAGAGAAACTAACTTCATCGTTAAAGAGGCCATTCGATCCCGTTGGTACAATTATCGAATTAGGATCATTTAGAAACTAGCAGCGACTGGGACTTTAAATCAACTTTATCTTTTGCGTTAATCTAAGATAAGATAAGAGATAAATAATCTGGTGTTAATCTAAGCATTTGCATCCAACCAACGCTACATACTTATCAGGGCAATTTAGTGTATAAAATGATTGCGTTTAAATCCTTTCTGACGATATTTCGGACAATTGAACTAGCAACAATGTGTCTCAGTAGATAACAGGACTTGTGTACAAAACGAAGCTGGGCTGTCCGGATCGTATGCCTAATAAATCTCCTCCCAGATTGGATCAAAGTACAGTGTGGTGGGTCTTAATCCTCATTTATGTGACATTGTACATCAACTGTGGTCGACTCTACAAAATCTACTTATCGCCCCCACTAACTTTTAACAAATGGCAGCAATGTCTAGAGCTGCAAGCAGATTTTAATTTCGGGTATATTTTGAGGGATAGTTTTTTTTCAAAGGGTAGGTAATTCGCTTCAAAAAATATGAGTTTGCACCACTTTACAAATGATTTAGAAGGCAGGTTGCTTAACATATCTCATATCATGATGTAATATTAAAAATATAAGAAATTTCAATGAAGAATGATTAATTCCAAAGTTGGATTTCTTAAAAAATTTTACAATTTATCTTTTAGTTATAAATTTGAAAACATTCTACTTAAAAAAATGTAACTTACTATTTTATTTTCTTTTTCTTTTTAACTGGCAAGATTTTCTGGCAAGATTTAAATTCTGGAAACTTGTGAATGATAACTTTCGAATGCTTCAAATCTGTTCTTTGTGCCAAGAAATTGACCTAAGAAACAATTTTTAATATTAAATATACGTGGCATTTCACTCAAATTATTATTATTATTATTTTAAATTTGATGTTTAGCCTATATCAAATGTATACTATATAGGCTATACATGATATCAAATGTTGACATATGCATTTAGTATCAAATGTAAAAATTGAAGTAGAAATGATATTTTCAGAAAATTTTGTGAATAATTTTCTATAGATAGAGGCTACATTTTCTATGAAATTTTGTATTTAAAAGTACAGACTTATAAAGTGAAAACATATTAGTATATACCTTCCTATTAAGATATGTACAAATAATAAGGTAATTAATCTGGATATTAGTAAGCAAATTTGAATATACATTGTCATAATCATATAAATGAATGATTAAACTCTTGAATTTTTTGAGATTTAATTAAAATAATCCAAAACTTACCTTCTAGTTAACAGGCTAATAAAAAAATTTTTTATTTAGTTTTAAACTTCTATTATTTTAAAAGGTGTTTATAGTTTTATTAAATTTTATTCTGGCAAGATTCTTAACTTATCAATTTGCAAAACCTGGTTTATGTGCCAAGAAATAGCAACCTAAGAAACAATTTTTTAAACGTCACTTTTTATGTATTGAATATATTTTAAAAGATTTATCTAAAATTTTAAAACATTTCATTACCTTAAAAGATTTTTAACTATTTAAAGTCAAAGACTTTTTGGCACCTTTTCGCTACTTATGACCATATATCAAAATGGATACAGTGCATTCAGATTTATGAAAGTAGGCACGTGTTTAATACTTTAAAGTGTTGCCAGACCTTTTTAATATTAAAAAAAATATATTAAATATAAAGCCAATAATCTAAACGTTTAAAAATATTTACAAACTTAATTTATTTTAATTTTTTAACTTAATTTAATATTTAAACCCAAACTTTTCACATAAAATTAAGAAAATATGTTCAGATTTATAGCGGAGTACTACGATCGTCTGCGTTAATTGACGTTTTAACGTTGCCAACTAATAAAAAATTTTTAAAATTAATTTAAAACTATTTAAAATATTTCATTATTCATGTTTAACAATTTTTAGTTTTAATTTATACAAAATTATAAAATTAATATCATTTTAAAAATTCAAATCAATGTTGTCATAACACTTAATATAAAAAATGACATTCGAATGACGTCATAAGTCGAATGCATCAGCGTTTCATACATTTATCGGAAGTGCGGAGGATGGCGAGAAAGTGTCGAGAATATAGAAGATATAATAAAATAAACATTTTATACCCGTTGACCGATTGGGGTGGACGCCGCAGAAAGAGAATCGTCATGCTTCTAATTGCTGCTAGTGTCAGCATAGCGTCTACACTACTGGACAAGCAGCTGTAAAGTCGAAGCTTTCCAACATCTACGTAATGACAACCATAAAATACAGCGATGCAAGCATCTCGCTTCCGAGTTTTAGTGACGTTTAAGGCCTCGTAAAACGCTGGCCTCACTTGGAGGATGCGGAAAGTTCTGATGCTGATGCCAACATTGTTTGACAAGCCAGCCACTGCTAGTCTCCTGTGGTGATGATTGCTAAAGCTTCTGTACCTTCCACTTTACTGCTGTAGACGATAGCTTCTACAATAACCTAACTGATCAATTGCGTTGTCGGTATTGCTGAGTGTACTTTTATTAAGAGCGGTACGTACTTAGCAAATGGTGGCATACTAGGATTTGTGGCTACAAAGTTAATTTACTACCCCGAAATTTTATTCTCTTCAAACCGTGAATACTGATTTTTCAAAATGGCGACGAATTTTCCATGAAAGAGTCTCATTGCATCCGTTGTATCTTCGCCTTTTGAAAATTAGGATTTCTCTACAGTACTTCGTAGAATAATATAATTTTCTTTGCATAATTCCGTGAAAGAGAGAAGTACGCAAATTAAGACACTTCTACAGATCAAAGGGGTTGCGTAACGGAGCAACAATGGGCACATCAATAGGACACGTGCACATGGAGGGGAGGAAGGAAGTGCAGAGGAGTAAATCATAATGATCGGGACATGAGGTCAAGTTGTTGCTGGACTGCAAGTTGTTGATTGGATAGTCCAGTGTCCGGTAACAATCGATAGGAGCTGTCAGCTTCGGAACGTACCATCTTCTGTCATTTAGGACCGGTGGTTTCTCCACGCCATCAACAGATGTAATTAGATGAATAACAAGTCGTATTTGTTTCCTCAACTTTGCCTTTTCGCTCTTTAAAATTTATACCTTTTCCCCTTTCAAACTCTCTTACGTCATCTACATTTCGTGTTCCTTAAATTTCCATAAAAGTCTCACTTTATAATTATTTTTAAATTAAAAATTTACAGGCACTTTATTTTTTTGGAATTTTCAAAATTTAATAAAATTTAAAAATAACATCAAAACACTTCATTATTGTGCTGCAAAATTTGACTATCGTTATTTCAATTTCACACAAAAAAATAATTATAATTCGTTAATAAATTCGTTATAGAATTTTAAAAATCGAAAAGCCGCTATGTTTTATATATTTTAAAAGTAACGTCCTAAAATTTGAATTTTTAAAATGTTAAATTTTTTTTTTCTCAGTTTGTTCTTATTTTTCTTATACATTAACAAAATGAATGCACGAGAGAAATATTTTCAATACACAGAATTTTGAATATTGTAAAATACTTTCGCCACATTTGAAGTAAAAATTCTGCGCTCTTCGTATATCAGTTTGTAATTTTAAAATTTTATAAAAAATATAATTATGGTCGAAATACTACTAAACTTGGCAGTAAGAAATTTAAAAAGATTTAGATTTAAATAAAAAAAATTTAATTACGATCCGTAAATAAGTTCGATCGTTGCAACGTTTAAAACTTTTCACCTTCCATATTCGAAATCGTTTAATGCTTACCATTTAAAATTTTAAAATTCTGTAAAAAATATAATTATAATCGAATTTTTACGAAATTTAACAATATAGTAATAATTCTAATATTAAATTTATATATAAAATTTGATTATTATTCATTAATAAATTCGACAGTTGCAACATTTAAAAAAAAATTAATCTGTCATATTTAATGTTTTACGCATGCAATTTGAAATTCTAAAAATTCATTTAAAAATCTAATTATGATCGAAATTCAATTAAATTCGGTAGTAAGGTAGTATTTTCTATATTAAATTTAAATATAAAAACTAAGTTACTCTAGTAGATAAATTCGATTGTTGCAACGTGCTTCAAAATACATATCCGCCATTTTTGATATTTTAAAATTCAATAATTAAATATAAACACAATCTAAATAAAATCTGGTAGTGAGGACATATTTTTTTATATTAAACTTGCTTATGAAATTTGGTTATGACCCATTTGTTAATAAATTGGACTGTTGCAACGTTTGAAAAAAAAATCACGATCCGCCATTTTGGATTATTTTAGATAAACGAAGTACTGATGGGAAAATGTACATTTTTAAAATTCTCTATCTTTAAGTAGAGGTACTAGAAGATCAATTATTCCATCGTGGAAAAAAATCTTTCCGGAAGGGATTATTAATCTGGAAAAGCAAATTAGAGATTCAGTATCAAGTCGACTCAACCAACCTATTACTCTTTGGACATCAAAACGTCGGGGAATTTCCCAAATGACTCCTCTAATTAGATTTACAACAATTCGAAACTCTCGTGTAAAACAGATTAGAAGAATCAATCTGAAACGCGCAGCGTGAACACCACACTAACTTCGACTCTACTTGATTTACCCTTTAAGGAGGAAAGAAAAAAAAGAACGTGTTGCCAGTTAACATCTTCGTGACTCTCTTAAAGGGTAGATAGAGCAGAATCTGTTCAATCTAATCTAAAACGCGTGCTGGACTTGTTTTATGGACGGAACAAAACACTAAATGGGAAAGGGGCGTAAAATGCGAGCGTACTGTGTAAAGGATGCAAAACCCGTTTCTAAAGTGGATACCCGGGACTGTAGCACCCAACTCCAAGCGTAACAGATATCCCTAGAGCGGGGGGCCAAACGGGGAAGTTGTTGCTTCAAACTGGCACACCTGTCCGTCAGCAAAAAGGTATCGAGTTGTGACTCTCGTAGAGTCCAATTCAGTACAACCCCCGAAAAAAAAAAAAAAAAAAAAGGCAAAACATGGTAACATATGCAGATCTTAATCAGGAGTAATACTGTTAAATGAGCGTATCTCGTCTTCGTATGAAACGGCGCGTTACGCGGTCACGCATCGCGAACGCGCGTCGCCATTAATCAAAAGAGTTGCCACCATTCAGATGTCCAACTCTTTGTGTTGCACATTTCTGTTAATATGCATTCTACCAGTAAATTTATTCACCGAACTTAAAGGAAAAAACCAGGAAAAAAAAACGTGTGTAGTTCAGTAATTACTCTTGCACTGCCTTAGGTATTTTAAATGGATTGTTTCTATAGTAGTAAGCGACGTAAAAAAAAAGGAAGCACTTCTTACTCCAGACATTAACACACGTACTTTGCCTCTGGTGCTTTTTTTAACGTAAGTTAAATGATGAATGAATAATATTTTTCTCAAATTGAGACTCTACTCGAGTGTTGAAACAATCAACCCTCCCGTTTTTTCAATAGTACTATAACAGCAATAACTGAAAACTTTATTTTAATCTTTTTTTAAATCCACACCCTCCAGTTACTTGACATTACAGAAAATATAAAATCGAAGTCCCAAGAGTGCTCGAGTTTCTTTTTAAATTTTTAATATATAATTTACTACTTTTTTTTTAATTAAAGCAAAAAAAAAAACTTGAAGGAATAAATCACACCACTCCAATTAAAGTCCATGTTTGGTCGATGACGTCCGGACCATAACGCATCATGTAAATCAATTGGAAGTGAAGATATTTAATCAGAAACTTCATCAATCCGGCTCACAGTCACTTTTTCCTTCTCACATAATGAATAGCGCAACTATCAATCAAAGTGGGTGACAGCTTCATCGTCTTACGTGCGCCCTCAACAAATTACCTCGGCAAACATACAGATTATGGCATAAACGACGTCATCGGGGGACATCCCCTTTACAAAGACTCGACCCTTTGTAAATACACGGAATGGAGGAGAAGCGACGATGACGTATAAACGTTTCCTTTAATAATCAAAATTGGTAAATTTTCTCGTGCAAAGATTCAGATTTTCCGCACGATTTTTTTCGGTGCTGAAATCATATTTTCTGCATTTATAACTGATTTTTATGGATTTAAATTGTCTGTAGATGATTGCGTTGACATTTCTACTTCATTTTTTTTTTTCTTAATTTTGAGATTTATTCGTGTATAAAGCGCACTAAAAATACTGTTTTGCTTCCTGGTGACGATTTTCTATGCTTAAATTATATATCATTTTTGCCTTGCGTAATTTATTAAATACAAATTTAGCCGTTTTAAACAGTTTATTTTGATATTTTTCAATGTTTTATGTGTAATGTTTTTTTCATTTCCGAGTATAACGCGCACAAGCTCGTCTCTTGTATATTAAAACAACTCTATCACTAATCTAATTAAGAAACGTAAACAAATATATTGTTTTAACACTTTATCTTATATTCGAACCGTTTATAACAGCCACCTGTAAACAGCGGCCATTTTTCAGGCAATTTCAACAAAGATATCTACAAAATAACCTCAAAACAAAGTCCATTTTTATGTTCTGTCAATGTGGCCGTTGTTGAGAGGTTTCACTGTAAATGTAAACGTTAAAAGACAATAAAAATAATAATTTAATTAAACACACATAAAGTTTTTATTCATCACGGTGTCGTGCGATACTTTTAACGCGGAATTTCAAGCTATCATCACAGATCATCCCGTTAACAATTTAAATACATAATCATCTTCTGTCCACACCTTAAAGATTTCAAGAAAATCACCAGCAAAGTTTTAACAATTAAAATACGTATTATCTTATATTAATATAAGCTTTATCTTTATATCAACGTCCAATTAATCTACTTAATTATCATCCATATCCAACAATAGATATCATCATCATCATCCTAGAGTTATCTGTATTAATAACACTATCAGCACTCCCATTATCATGTTATTTACACCATTTTGTTATGTATATTATATACTTATCTACAATTAATTATCGAGTTTAAATATATTAGATTATCTTCATCCTTATCATCATGGTTGAAGATGTTTGCAGCTAAAAATAGTAACGTTATTTATGCCCGAGTATCAATCTCTATCTCCGTCTATTATCTACATTAACTCAACGGTATTATCAATCTTCATTATCAATATTATCTGCATCATCATCATCATCATCCGTTTCGGTTACTGTTTACATTAATCCGAATTTCTGTTATCTAGAACGGATAATTTTCTGTTATTCTTGTTCCTCCCGCGAGATAGTATTAACTTATTAGTAAAGTGACACGTGTCACAATGTATTCGAACCATGCCACTCCGCCATATTAGAGAGGTTGCAGCCGACGTTTTCATCGCGAAAACGTGTACGTCGGACGTTTAGCGCCGCTTTCCTGTAAGCCTAGAAGTTTGACAATGGCGTTTGGAACGTCAGTGGAATCATGCTCGACGTATCAAACGCCATTGTCAAACTTCTAGGCTTACAGGAAGGCGGCGCTGAACGTCCGACGTACACGTTTTTGCGATGAAAACGTCGGCCGCAATCTCTCTATTGGGTAGCCACGCGACGTTTATTCTCTCTTGCGTATCGCGTTAGGGTGAGACTATGCAGACGCGAGCCAGCGAATTTTTCGAGCGAGCGAGAATATCTGGCGAGAAGCGATAAATATCAAACCATGTCAGATATGTGCGAGAACCAGAAATTCGCTCTAGCTAGCGATATTTCTCGCTTGTGCATGGTTTTTCTTTGCGAGAACTATATAGCTCGCAACTAAATTCGCGTCTGCATAGTCGCACCCTTAGTCTTTCAGCGAATGGAGTTTTGTATCGCGACTTCGTAAACAGAAACGTCACATTTTTCGAAATAAATTTTAAAATCACAAACCCAGACGGACAGATCTATAAACTGAAAGAAATAATATTTTCGATCGCGCCGTCGCGTCGCGTCGCGCCGCACACCAATCGACGCCCGCTTTCATACACAAAGCACCACAGATACACGCGTTCTGTCTAAATAGTGTACATATTTACGTCACTTATGATAGAATGACGCAGTACTTACGTAACAGCGTATACAAGTTCCTTGAAAACACGAACACAGACGTACAGACGTCTAGACAGACTTCGAATCTGCCATAGAAAGACGTGAAAACCGAGAAAATTCAATCAATAAAAAAAAACTACAAAAATAAAATGGCAAATTTTTTCTTTTCTTTTATTTTCATGTGTACAAAAAAATCTCTAAAGTACATTATTATTATTATTAATTTTTTTTTGTTTTTTTTTCACTCTTAAAACACACCTTACATATACAAAGATAAGAAAATACAAAAATGTTATCCACAATTGGGAAGAAGAGAAAATTATATATATGTATATACTGTTTATATATGCTCATGTATGTTTGTCTGTATGTCTGTATGTATTTGTATATTTATATATATATATATAAAAGCACAACAAATTCGAATATATACATTATCCCAGCGACTTCATACATATACATGGGGAAAAATAACATTTTTTTCCTTAAATCTTATTGTTTTTTTTTTCATTAATTTTGACTATTTTTCTTGTCTTTTTCCCTATCACAAATCAAAGAGATCACTTCTTTGTTTCTTCATTATATATATATAANAGATCATCATCATCATCATCATCATCATTATATATAGTAATTTATGGGTATAAAAAATGCATTTGTTTTTTCTTTAACCATACAGACTCAAATTTTCGTCAAAATATTGTATTTTTTATTATTAAAATGCAATCTTTGGTAAAAATTGTGTAATAAATTATAAAAATTAAGTAATATATTTATATATTTATATATATATAAAAAAAAACTGAGCTTTATTTACTAAAAAAAAAAAACAGTTTTTTTTCTTTGGTTGTTGTGTTTTTTTTACCTAATTTACCTGGTTTCCTGGCTTTATAAAGTCGTAAACGTGCGTAAAAAGCGCTAGTAGATTGGTTATGTCGGTCTGCGTGGTATCGTGTAACTCCTTTCTGTGTAAAGTAGGACGTCTGTAAGCTTGTCTGTACGTCGTTTATAGGAGAAACTATGGAAACCAGGCTTAAATATAGATTTTTTTTTTAATTTTTGAGTTAAAAAGTGGTCCCTCTTTATAAAGAAACGATGCAGAAGATATAAAACTTTTTTTTGTTCGTAATTTTATCACATTGCTCTATTTATTTATTATTATTAATTTTCTTTTTTAGCATTAACAAAAATAAGCTAAGAAATTTATTATTTTATTTTAATTTTTAAAAATTTTTTCATTGTTAAAATAATTTATTTTTGTCATTTTTGGACTGATTGCTTTTTGATTTATTGCTCTAAAAAATCTTTTTTTTTGTTTATTTGCGGTTTAATAATTAGAAATAATTAAGAGATTACAAAGAAATAATAATAATAAAAATGGCACCTATTTTGGGATGAAGCTAAAAATTGGCAATTTTTTTTTTTTTTAGTCTAAACGGGTATATTTTTTTTGGCAAATTTGTTCGTTTTGGCAGTGTAGATTGCGAGAGGGAACCGTTGGGAAGGAGTCATTAAAAGTAGAGAAGCATTAAGTAGGAGCTCACCTCGAATATCCGAAAATTCCGGATCATCGAGGAGGAAAATGGGAGCCCCCTTCGATGTTGGGAAGGAGCTCGTGTGACCAAAAAGTGACTAGATTTAGCCTGCTAATGTGTATATATATATATTAATGATGTTGACTGGCACAGACACGAAAATTTCAATCTGTTGGGTTGGTGGTTTTTTTTTTGGAAGTGGAAAGTAATGTTACGTTTTCGAAAAGAAAAGGACCAAATAAAAAAAAAAAAGAAAGTGAAATTCACTTTTGCAAACGTGTTCAACGGGTTCTCATAATTGTCCATGGCAGTCGAAGTCACCAACGTGACTGAAATACTAAAAAAAGGACGGGGTTCTTTATCACTCCTTCGGTCACGGTCACCGAAAGATCAAATGGTAAAGACTTCTCAACCAGCTGAGCGGAGAGAAACCCTGAAAAAAAAAGAGAGAGAAAACACTTCAGTACTGCTGCAGCAATAAATAAAAATGGTGCTTCTAAAGTAATAAACTCTATCTCAAGTTAGGCACGTGTTACTGTATTTACAAACTCTACAGTTGCAAGAAAAAAAAAACAAAGGAAGGTGCTGTTACGGTACCCGCAGCTAATTTGCATACGCTACCAGACGTGGCGTAACGCGAAGTGTCGGGTCACGCGATGGAATTAATTAAACAAAAAAAAAAACAAAGAGGAGGGTCAATCCGTCACTTTATTGTTGCGATAATGCTGTTACAGTAACGGGAATATCGCGTAGAGTCGCGCGTAACTTAAACAAAGAATGAATTTCGGGGTGGATTTTCAAAAAATCTTGCCTATTAGGAGCGAGCCAGACAGGAAGAAACACGACGATAATTGATGTTGTTGTAACTTCCGTTTCAATCAGTTCAAAAAAGCAGAAAATATTTTGTTAAAAGTTACAAAAGGGTGAATACTTGATGAACACGCGGCAGAGGGGAGAAAAAAATGTAGAGGAAGGGAAGGAAAGAATACATTAGTGTGGCATCTCTTCTACAAATTTAAAGCTCAATTAGCAATGGATCCCGAGACTGCAATAATTAAGATGCATCAAGACTCTTATCTAGATGATAAATGGCACAGTGTGCTTCGTTTGCGTGGTAAGAACTAACTACATTCGCCCCCCCCTCTCCACGCTTTTCTTTATGAGATATTACTGCTAAATGAACAAATTTGTAAGGGGTTTTATACGATTAGCGAGCCTTTTAAGCCTCAAATCTCCTGTTAGAGGAGTAGGGTGTAATAGAATCACACTGCAAGGATTTGATTATGCTTCTTATGCAATTTAAATCTTTGCTTTGTTTCCCTAAAAGGGGCTCAAGCTTATCCCACCGTTTTACATCCGAATTAGATAGTTCAAGAGCTATTTTTGGTCCCTAAAATGCCCAAATTTAAGGATCTACGCGCGAATGAGCTCTGTAGAATTAATGGTGTTGCTAAGTATTGATGAGCTCGACAGTCACCTACGTTCTTCTCTAATTGTTAGACCCTTATACTTCTTTAAGAAGTGTAAGGACAATTTTCTAAGTTATGGTTCGCTAACTGATATAAAAATTAAGAGCAGGGCTTAATGGAGTTTAAAGTAGAGAGAGCGAGCCCTTACGAAGATTATGTTTAGGAGAAGGGCAAACAATACTTGGTAAGGTCGCAAGAAAATGAGACCAGATGTTACAGGCGATGAAGCCAGACAGGTGTCTGCGTGGGGAGCGTGGGAATGTCCGTTGAGGGGGTGAGGACAACCCCCCGACATCTCCAAAGACTCGAGGAACCGTTATAAAGAGGACCTCGGTGGGAAAAGCTAGTCTCTCGGCCCACCTGCACCTCTTTTGAAACATAAGCAACGAATTTTTCTAACAATGCTCGGATTTATTGTTGCTTTGCACTCGAGCCCTTTCTATTCACCCGGGGGGCGGAAACGGGGGGATAGCTCTCCGTTGCCCCGTCGAGAATTATGAAAAATGAAACCAAAATCTCGACCCTCTCGCTATTTCGCTGTGGTTTTCTTCCAGAAAAGTTCCATTTTTTGAGATTTCAGCGCCCTGCAACAAGCCTTTGTGTTGTCAAACACAACACAAAGCAAAGGCGTGGTTTAAGTGGATCAAAACGCGTGTTTTAGGCAATATCTGCAGTATTTTTATTGTAAATACTTGAAATATCGAATTTTTAAATAATCTTTTGGCTTAAAAATGACAAAAGATGAGCCTTCTACACCGTTTCTATGCACGCCAAACCCCCTTATTTTGCAACCAAACTGACTAGAGGTCTTTTGCGTTTCCATTATGGCTTCTTTTTATATTAAAAAATAGCCCCCTTTAATCGCATACGAGGAGATGTAACAAACCAAATGGAGGATCGTTTGAAACTGGTGGAGAAATATTGACGTGATCTAATAATAGAAGGTGGCTAAGGCACACACGTGTTAGGGCTACGTGGGAATCCCTTGTCAACAGCCCCTCCCTACCAGATAGGGAACATCACGTGACGTTGTTATCCCTCAGCTGGTGGGTCGAAGTCAACAACAATCAGCTGATGGCAGCAACCTGTTTGTCAGCTGATGGCTCTTGCCTGGCCCCGTGTTGCTTGTTATTCTAGTCCCGAGACTAAAAATGAGGGCACAATCAGTCTTTTTGTTTGTGTAGCGATAAATGCCAAAGCTATACCTAAATAACCTCTCCGTGTTTCCCCGAGCAATAAAATTAATTTATAGAGCAATCGAGGGGTCTTGTTTATTGTGATCAACGATTTAAATGGAGCATAAAAGAAGAAAACTTACCTCAAGTTCGGCTTGAAGTGTGCTTCGAGAATAGGAATCAAAATCGTCAGCCATACTTCTCAACATCCTCCCCGCGTACGCCATGTTACTTCTCCTCTCTCTCGTGGACCTCGCTTGTACCAAATCCGGTAGAGGACCCTCCGATGTCCTAGGCGAGTGCTGCCTGTGTGCGTTTTCTAGCATAAGAAACAAGAAAAATCTATAGTTAAAATAAATAAAACGAGCATTTACAGGCGCTCAAATGGGGGGAAGAGGGATCAAACACGTGAAAGTCGCGCCTCCCCCCCCTGTTTTAACAAAGTGCAGTGACAATTAACCGTACGAAAATAGAAGACCCCTGTGGCACTTCAGTCTTGGCAACTGTTTTCTTTCAGGTGGTCCGATCCGTGCGCGCTCGTGCTCGATAATCTACGAAAATTCCCCCTTTACGATCCTTCCAAAAATAGTTTTTAATCCGGTAACGAGCTCCTATTGCGTCACGTGGCGAAACGCGTGCTTCTCTATATTTAAAAACCTGATGTCACGCCTCGGAGATGGCACCGTTTGTTTGATGAACGAGGGGGTGACTACGTAAGGAGTTTTGAAAATTAAAACCGGGTGTGGTTGCATAGACGAGAGAAAGAGCGCCAAGAATCGCGTGCAGAGTTTTTCTTCAATTTTTTTTTTTTCCGCCCATAAATGGGGGTGGTAGCAATCATCGGGGGGAGTCCTCGAACCGTTTTAAATGATAACAAGTGAATTTATGCATAGGCTATCAGCAGGTGTGCACTATAGAGTTGTCGCTCCTCAGTTTCTTTTTTTTTTCTTTTCTGTGTGCGCCCAAACATTAACGGAGCGCAACAAACAAATGTCAGCTGTAGAAGTCATTCAAATGTGCTTGGTGGGGGTTAAAAACGTCATAAATCTAGCGTCAACTGTTAGCGACTGCAAACGACCGCCGAATTACAGCGTAAAATAATAAGGCAGCGAGAGAACGGAAGCGCAGATATACAGGATAAGCATAAACCACTAGAATGTCACTGCCACGCATTGGATAGTACTTTACGATCGACAACTTTTATGTCAGATACTTCTCTTTTCTCTGCTTGGGGGTCGATAACGCGTAAATCATAGAATAACTCTAGCTAGCAGCTGTACTCTCTCACCTACAACGCTTTTAATTATGTAGGCAATGGCATATTGGTAAATAGTAGAGTGCTCGATGGCGTGGTTAGGGGTTGTCGAGTTTTGTAGCCACCTGCCTGTAGGGTTATGGGGTTGCACTTTGTAAATGTTTTGCATCTGATTGTTTTCGCTCGTGTTGTTCGTCACGCTAGTTTTAGGAGGATGAGAAGATTTGTGGTCGAATTTTTCGTGTGTGATGTCAGCTTTTTTTTTTTTTTACGTGTTCCGCTTTATCTCGTAGAACGAACTTTATAGGTGCTTATTTATTAAAAAATGTCTTTAAAAATCGTATTTTTTTTAGGGTTTTAAGTGTGCCATATCCTATTTTATAATCGGGGTTTTTATGAATAGTGTTTTTCTCGTCTATAAAAGTTTTAATGGTTAGATTTTTTCAGATTAAAACAGACATTTTTTGGAATCTTGAGCGTTCTGCGATCAATATTGAGGGATTTTTAAAGGTTATAACCCATCTGGACCTACCTTTCAGCTTATTTTGAAGAGGAGAACGTTTTAAAAACTATATTTTCGAGTACGAAACGTCATTTTTAACGATTTACGCTGGGGAAAAAAATCACTTTTAGGCTATTTATACAGTGAAATCTCCATTAACGGACACCTCTACTTAAGGGGCATTTTTACAATCCCAGACTCTTCTATTATATTTACCTCTAAATAGCGGACAAATGTCTCGATCCCGATAGTGTCCGTTATTCGGAGGTTACAGTGTATTTAGTTAGATGGTAATATTTAAAATATTTAAGACAAAATTTGCATATAGTTCTTGAAAATGGGAATGATTTATAATCAATTTTGGTGAATAAAAATATTTTATTAAGTTGGTAAGATGAATTTTGCTTTAGGTTTTCGTGAAAACGTGGTCCATTTTTGCTACTTTTCAGCTCTTTTTTCATACCTTTCTGGCCACGCAGAGATCGAAATGAAGTATATTAAACATAAAGGTAGGTTTGCCGAAGAACTAAAGTAGCAAAGGAGCTCGAAGGTGAGATTAGGATTTTTAAAGGAAGAAGCGGGGAAAAAAGTTCGAAAAGAAGCGACGGAAAACAAAGATTAGGAAACAAAAAAGAGAAAGATAATAAACAGAAAAATCGAAACTTTAGAGCTTAGCAGAAAAGAAAGAAGTGTGTTCAAATCAGAAGTGAAAACAAACATGGCAGAGAAGCAATAAAAGAATCCAAGAACAATAAGCAAGTAGGAGGAGAAGGGGGGAGAAAGGAGCGCTCAAAAACTACCAAAAAGGACATAGTACTAATCCGTCCAGTTCACTAGAAACTGTAGTGGGAGTTAATAACGGATCGATAATATTTTTTCCCTGCTTAATTAAAGTACAGAGTCAATCGACATAGTTGTCGAAGCAAGGGGGAGGGAGGAAGTTAGAAGAGGCAAAGTACGAAATGTGACAAACAAGAGAGATGACATTTGGAAGATCACCGGCCGTAAAATCCGTTCTGTTAATCACCCAATGGTCATCCGCATCGGATACTCGATTCGCTGGGGATACAATCCATCAAGTAGAGGTATGCACACCGACAATAATCACGTTTCCCCGCTGCACTTCACCTGATCTGACCGGCCGTGCGCAAACCACACTCGATAAGTCGATCGCCGAGTCGTTTGGAAGGGGGGAGAGTGCACCGCCCTGACGTCACCGGCGGGGGAAGGGACGGAGGCAAGATAAAGCTAAGGAGATCGTAAAAAAAAACAGGAGAGGAGCCAAGTCAGTGCCTGGTGACCTCCGCGTCCACATCTGTCGCCGGCTGCAGAGAGTGAGAGAGAGAGAGAGACAGAGCGAGAGAGGCTGCGTGACTCACCGTGCCACCCCCACACGCATCGTCCTGCAAACAACGTCAATAGCATCTTTACAGCTTACTGCTTCGCTTATCTCTTCGCGTCTACCCCTGTTTGCATTGTCTCCCCGTTGCGTACAGCGCGGGGATTGTGACGTGGGGGTTATAAAAACGCTCGCACCTAGGCGCCGAGAGTACTGCCACCCCCCCAGTAAACAGAGCCGCGCAAACGTGCGATCTGTTTTCTACGCGCAGGTCTATAGTCTTTTAGCGTGCGTTTCCTCCCCCCATCGCGTACTGCGGCGCTTTGCCCCCGGGAAGGAAGAAAAGGAGGACGATGACGTCACGTAAAGAAGTAAATCAAGTAAGAAACCAAAGTGTTGTTTACTTGACACAAAAGTTATTCTTTTATCCATAATCGGTGGAGCGAATCTAATGGTTGTCTGGTTAGCCCTTCGGTCGCCACAATTTGGTCCGTCAATGGAAAATCGCCAAACGTAAAACTTGAATTAAAAAAAAATAAATAAACAGGAAAAAATATCCCTAACAAAATAATATTTTTGAAATTTGTAGAGTTAGGGAGACGGAAATATCGTTTAAAAGTTATTACGTCACATTTTTGTCAGTTTTTTTTAATTGATTGAGGGAATTTTTTTCGTTCGAAAGTCTATTAAATATCCCTTAAAATTGTCTCAAATTTCTCCAAGTTACGGGAATATTTTCCCTTTCTACGAATAATATTTTCAATAATATTCCCTATTAATTACAGATTCAAGGATATTTCCCTACTTTCAAAGTAAAATTTTCTTTGTTTAAAGAATAAATCCATTAATACTCGTTCTTAAATTACAAACTCCAGGATATTTCCTCAACTTTTCCCTAACTTAATTTCCCTAAATTTGTCGTTAATAAACAATATTACCGAAAATAATCAATCTTCAGGGAAAAAGGAATAAAAACTCCCAAATAATTTTTCTCTCTTGCCTAGAAAGTTATCTTCAACAATGTTCCCTATTAATTACAAATTTAGAGATATTTCCCTGATATGATAAATTTCCCGTTTAACTGGCGGAACAGTCTCAGAATTTTCCCTTTACACTAGCTTTTACAACGAATTTTAAACAGATAGACGGGAAAATAGGGAAAAATCCGTTTATAATTGAAAAAAAAAATCCCGTTTTAAAAAAAAATAAACCTCATTATCTGATTTGTTATTATAATAGCAATTAAAAACGTTGGAGTTTTTTTTCTTTGGAGGAGGAAAAAACGCTAATAGAATCCAAAATAAATTTATCAGTGACAAAACAGGAATGTTACTTAAGTAGCATCAGTTAAGTTAATTATAGGTTATCAAAACCCTGATGTAGAAGAATATGTTAACATTTAAACAATGAAAAAATTGTTATAGAAGCAGAGATTACATGAAAATTTATATTTATTGCTCTAGTAGCACGGGGGGATGGTGTTTATTATTGTGATAAAGCGTAGAAATTTTTATTAGAAATTTATAATATCAAATTTTAGCCCGTCATCATCAATTACTAATTAAATTCGGGTATTAATTTATTACTATGGGCATCACCTAACAGCATTTAAAAAAAAAAAAATGGAGGGGGGACGAGAGAGACGAGTGTAGTGGCATCAGCCGAAATCATTTATAGCACAATATAACAAACAAGGTTACGGCTGTGCCGATAGGGCAAAGGTCTCTCTGGGTCTGCTGTGCTAGTGAGGGGGGAGGGCGAAGCAGCCGGGGGTCATCCCCGGGCTAGCTTGCTGATTGGAGGAGAACGTTGTAGCGCTCCGGGCCAACAACAAGGATTAAACTGGTCCTGATGGCAGTGGGCCATTGGTACATAGCCCGCAGGTGTCCCTGATGGGGTCAAGGAACGGACAGGCCAGCTAACTACCTAGCCCAACCTGTCAGACAACACCAGTTTGTCTTTAACGCTCATCTTCTTTTACTTTCGCCCATGATACACTTTCGCGATCGACTTGACCCATTTGTTGCTGTAGTAGTAGAGCAATTTGCAACGTTTGAATCAATTATTTTGGATGTTTACCGGATTTGAATTTTTGTCTCGACGATTTGCACGCCTGTCTCAAGGACAATGCAATTATCGTTATTTGTAAACACGGGAATTTCTCGTGTTTAAAACAACTTCTGCGAAAGATTACCATCGATTTTATCATCCTCTAAACAGATT